AAAAACAAGATACAAGAAGTTGTGTCAAAGAGAAACCTTCTAGATCCATTGTTTGAACCCTCTTCATCCAGACGTGCTAACAATAGAAATCTTCTAAAAAGATATAGATTTATTTATTTCCACACCCACCTATTATATCAGTTCAAGTATTCCATTTACTAATTCATCTGATGTCACTGGGTTAAAATGCCATATCCTATCACTTATTTCTGGTTTTTATTCTCATTATATAGTCCATTAACCCCTCCTTTTTTCTCATCATACAGTCCATTAATTCCTCCTTCACATGATATGCATTAATAAGCAGTTACACAACACATTCAACATCTTACATTCAGCTGCACTCTCACAGTATTCACCTCTGGAAATACGCATGATGTACCCCTCACCACTCAATAGTATCCACTCGCATGTTCTGTTTATTTTCTCTTTTGTTCTTTTCAATTATGTTCCTTTGCTTCTCTCACTTATTCCATTATTTAAATTGCTTTTACTCAGGTTAAGGTTTCTTGGCTTCATAAGGGTTTACATTTCTACTTGTTTCTCCTTGTTTTGATGTGAGGAAGAGCTGTGAGTGGTGAGGGGTTTGCATTGTATGTTAATGAGAGAAACACAATCCACACATTTAAGTCTTTCTATAATAGATCACTGTAAAGTTGATCAGAAAAACTTGGATTCAAAACCATGTTGCCTGCTGCAACAAAAACATCTAAAATGGTAAGAAATGTTTTTGATGTCATCACTACTTTGACAAGGTAATATTTGAGTATGCAGAGACAGTTGGTGCACACAGTGGATTTATATCCTTTGTGGCTATTGAGAAACATATTTAAATGAAAGTTTCTGTGCTCGGAGATCAGCTTTAAGATTATCACTGAACTATAATTTGTATTTTTGATATCAGATTGCTACATTCTTTTCTACACATTATGATTTATTGCAACACTGTTTTCATCTAGATTTCCAGCGCTTCCTGAGTTAACGCGTTTGATCCTTTTCAGGTCAGCTCTGACTATGAAGCAATGCTTAATTGTTGTGTATATACAACAGAGACGTGCAGTCAGGGGAGGCAGAGCCTCACCTAGTATTATGAAGAAAAAAGGTGTCAGCTTCAAGTTTGAAGCCGACATCTTTTTCTCCATTCAGATCGGCTTCTAGCAGGTTACAGAGCAGGGAAATCCTCACGGCTGTGTAACCTGTCATGGACGGAGTGCTGCCTGTTAATTACAGGCAGCGCTGCATCCGGCTTTTGACAGGTAGTTAGGTTACACAGCAGTTACACTGCTTGTGTAACCTAACTTGGTGAGGCAAGAGCTGTCACAGCCTCTACTCTGTGTTAGAGGCGTGAGCTCTGTGGATGGCTTGGGCCAATGGCAAAGCGCCATTGGTCCAAACTGTCCAATAAAAAAAAAAAACGGTGAGGACATCAATGCCTCACCAGAGAGGGACAGGGAGGCTCCTCCGTCTCCCCCCTTCCTCCTCCCCACACAGCTTGGTTACGAAGATGGGGCGGGCTTCGGTGGGATGGGGCGGAGCTTCCGCAGGCTAGGGGATGCCTCACCCAGCACGTCACTGATATACAATAATAATTTTATTTTAACTTTAAATCTGTGATTATTATAGTTTATGTATCCTCAATCTCTATAATTTGTAAAACTTAGCCACACATGACTTAATACACTATGACTCTAGATTGCCAGCACAGTAGCTTAGTGTTTAGCACTTCTGTAAGGGTTCCCTGTTTGCATCCTGGTCCGGACACTATCTGCATGGAGTTTGCATGTTCTACCCAGTGCTTGAGTGGGTTTCCTCCCACACTCTAAAGACATGCTAGTTTTGGTTCTCATCTAAATTGGCCCTGTATGTGAGTGTACAATATGGACGTTGGATTGTAAGCTCCTTGAGGGCAGAGACTGATGTGAATGTGCACAATGTAAAGTGCTGCATAAACTGTCTGCACTTTTATACCTGTAATAAATACATCAAATTCCATTATTATATCATGCTCTTTGATTATATAAGGCCTTATGCACCACCACTAATTTCTGTGATCCTTACATGAAATACATGCACAATAATAGCTATATTTTAATAGAAAGATCTAAAAGAGCTTTCTTTTAATAGGCTAATGTAATTTTTTTTATTTACTAGCTATTTTTTTCTCTCCTCTTTAAAAAGCAAAGGCAAAAACCAAAATGATAGAACTGACCATTAGGATCATTACAGGTAATTCAGCCAATTTACAAATGCAATCCCACTGCTGTATAAGAAAGCTGGTTCTGCTATGGAGATTATTATTGTAATCCAGATTAGCTGCATGGCGTGTGTTAAACATCCATTTACAGGCCTTTCCAAAGAGCACAAGTAGGTACGTTACTGACAGGAGACAAGAAGATATTGGACAGCTCTAACAAAAGAAGTGTGAACAACTGACCTCTCAGGTTAAACGGGTTTTAGATTGTCAGTGTTCCTGAAGGAAGGACAATACATTGTCCAGTAAGCAATCAGGTCTTCCACTAAATTCTTCAGATGATTGGCAGATAAAGAATTGTTACTGTTGGCAATAAAGACAAACCTCAAATGACAAGGCTCTTCATATTGTGCATTGAAAAAATTAACCATATTTAGTGCCCACTGGAGAATACAATGTCATCCAATGCTGAGAATTGAACATACTTTAATTGTGTTTTCTACGTCGTCTCTGTGGTAGCCAACTGTATTCTTCAAAATTGTTTAGAAGGCAGATGAAGCACAGCTTGTGTTAGCCGGCAGCCTTGGGACATTTCTCGCTCTCTGCTATATTTTCTTTTCATGCCAAAGTATTTACCTGTTCATCCTTTTTGCTTTTCATATTTCTCTTAATATTATACTTACTAATGTATATTACTATTATACTATTCTTTAACTTTATCGAAAGTCATGAAAGTCAACAAGATTCCAGCATTCTTTTCATAAGCTTTTTTGAACATGAACCCAAGTACTCTAACAAGCCATGAAATCTTATTTATGGCTAAGTGTTATTGCATATTACTGTTAGTGGCGATATATTAATTTAAAAAAATCCCTAGTCAGTGACAACCAGGTAATGAAATGCATACTTAGCTATCATGCGTACCTTTGCAATATTATAAACTGCATTAAATGAGAAAAAAAAAATGTAAAACCTTTACACTACCTTCTCAATCTGAATTTAACACACACAAAAAAAATTACATACACACACACATATATATATGAAACATTTGTTCTTAGTTTCCTTCTGACAGATAAAGTGCATAGCATAATAATAATAATAATAATATGCCATCTTCCGTCTTTTACTCAGCCAGCAGATGGAGCTGCAGTCTTCTTTTCACATAATCAGCTCTTTGAGCTTTCAGCTGTGTTGAAAGCCTCCATTTGTTTGAGTCCTGGTGCCCAACCTGTGGCCAGAAGGCTGGCCCAACAGCAGTAGGATTTTGTTCGAAAATGTTTGTTTTTGGAACTTTCGTTTAATTTTCTAATGGTTAGTGAGGTCTAACTGATGTTTTTTTTTTCGATTGCAGTAATGAAGATAACTGAAGGATGGACATTTTATCTTGTCTGATATTTGAACAAATGAAAATCTAACCGTGAATGTGATATATTTTTCTTTGGAAAAATCATACATATGTGCATGTGCTAGGAACAAAAAAATCCTGTTTAATCCTGGGATTTAATTCAAGTAGTGGATATGGATGGGCCTTTTAACAAAATGACTTGACTCAATGATCGCAAGGTGGAATGCTCCGACAAACTTTTTCGAACGATCGTTCAAACTAAATTCTAACATTGTATGTCCAGCCTTAGTGTGCAGCCATTGGGCACCAGCAGAGAGTGTTTTGCATGGGTGGATTATTAGGGACAGTGATGGAAATTGTTACTTAAACTGGTTTCTACTAGCTAAATTATTTGTTTTATTACTTTCTCACTTTAATACTTTTACTGTGTGTTGTCGATTTGTTTTTGTAAAGGATCTTGCTGTGATAAATATCAAACGTGGTTCCAGGATTTCTAATGAGGGCGGCAGGGAGTGCCGCCTTGTAATCACACTGCAATACGTCACGAGTATGACAGTCTCCTGGAGCATGTCCCCAGTTTCCAACCACACCTGTAACAGGGTCCATGGTCTCCGATAGTCTTCTGAAGCATGCCCCTAGTCTCCCAACTATACCTTAGACTCTGATCTTCTCTCTGATTGTCTACGGTATTATGTCTAGTTGCACACCAACTCCTGTAGCATTACATACCCTGCACATTATGTGCAGCCCTTTACTGATAAGAGGGGCTGGAACTGAGACCCCAAATGTCATGTAAGATGACCACCACTTATTCAGAGGGTTCCCAAGTCATCAGAGTAGTGATTCTTCCTCTTTCCTAATCAGAGGGGACAGAACAAGCTTTTAATCAAAGGGAGGTTTGTTTGCACTATTGTATTTTAGCTAACCCACAGTTCTTTAAAAACATATAACATAAAATTGTGTGAACACACACAATAGAGAGATAAAAATAGGCCCACAACCATTATATTTTTATTGTAAAGTGCACTATAATCCTGGATTTTCAGACCAGACTTTCTAAGCAAAAACATGATTGTGAACTAGAAGTTAGAACAAATGGTCAAAAGGGTAATCATATATTATCAGCATTGGGTTGGAGTGATACTTGGAGGTGCCAAACTGTCTATAATTAACTTCTAGGGTTCTAGCGTTTTGCAAGTCTTGGCAGCAACAAATCTGTCTGTATTTATTTTCTCTTTTCTTACTGAAGAATTACAGAGCGCTTCATGCCACCTCAAATTATTTCCCAGTCTGCTCACTGCTGCAGTGACAAATGTCTGTTGCGTACACTGAGCTATTTCCAACTCACTATAAAAGTGCCTGCAGGCTGCTGTAGAAAGGCAATCACAACTGATTAAATTCTCCAGGATAGGGGAAGGGAGAAAGGCCAGAAAGGGAAGAGGAAAATGAAGTTGGGCTTACCTTCCTTTAGAGCTTTATCCATGCTGTGACATATAACCACTCTTCTAAGCGGGGCTGGTTCATGCACATTCACAGGCTGCATACTCTAAAACATAAAAATGGCACAATCATGATAAAGGTTACAGCAAACATTCTGATTAATACTGAAGAGGACCTGCAGCCTAAAAACACAAAGTTACATCACTAGCCAGGGCCGGATTTACCATTAGGCAGAGTAGGCACGTGCCTACATGTGCCCTCCATAGAGGGGCACAATGCATGTACCTACTCTGCTTTAAAAAAAATGCACCCTCCTGCTCCAAGACCAGCGGTGCCTACAGGAACTGCCGGCTTCCGCAAACGCAGGGGAAGGACCCCGGCACTGTGGAAGGCTGCCCTGTAAACAGCTCGTCTGATTTGGACAGGCATTTAGGGCAACCTTAAGGAATACCAGGCTCCTTGCAAATGTAAAAGCTGGCGGGTCCCGCAGCAGGTAAAAGGCACCGACTCAGGCCAAACAGATTTCCATTCATGCCTACAGACACCCAAAATGGAAATCCGGCCCTGATCGCAACTGGTAGGTTTTGTCAATGTGTAGACTGCTAATTTACTGCCTTTGTGATTTCAAATATATCAAAGTGTTAAGACTAAAGGTCCTGTTACATGTAAAACTTTGTAGCAAAGATCCATAGTGCCCACAAATCTCTGGTATTTTTTGCGGAGATGATTGGATACAATGGGGGTGATTTACTAACCTAAACACACGCACGCACTAGGTGCGTGTGATTTTTACACAGCAAAACGTATTTATCAACCAAAAAGTCTCTAAAAGCATATTTCCACTAATGCCATATATGGAAAAATCATGCACATGATGCATATATAATGCTGCTTCACAGTTTAGACAAAAATGGTTAGCTCATGCATTTACATTCCTGCATTCATCAACGCAAGCAACACAACATAGAGCTAATTTACACAAGATCATCTTGCAATTCATGCTTGGCTTTGCACAACACACCTGCTGGGTGTGTACACACTACAAAGGTGTTTAGATTCCACCCATAGATCATGCTGGGAGGGAACACACTACAGAGGTGTATACATGTTCGTGGTGTGTTTATAAGGTTAGTAAATCAACCCCAATCAGTCTCTATGTAGCTACAAATCTATGCTATGCCATGATCAATAGCTGCTGCACTGCACCGATGCAGTTATTAAACCTGGCCATTGTGTGCGCCCAAACCCTGCAAAACGTTAATGCTGTAAGTTTTGCTGTAATTTCCCTAAATGGGTTTCATTATATTTTCTCTGAACAAAGAAATAAAATAAGAGATTTTGTAGATGCATTATAGTCACTTGTGTGACAAGGTCCTAAGTGTTAAAAATGTGCTAATTTATTTTTTGTAGCTACCAACAAAATTCAAACCAACTGTTTCAAAATGTTTGAAATCTGTTTCAATATAGGAAGGCCTTTCTCTTTGAGATTGATCTCAAACCAATATAGAAACTTTTTTCTAACATTCCACTTGAGCAATACTCATACCGTTACAATATACTTTAACCATGAGATGGAAAATGTGGAACTGAAAACACACTAAGCTAGTTTGCTGATAAGTCTGGGCTGTCTAATGTAGAAAATTAGACTTTTTTTCTCTGTCAACCTGAAAGTTAAAAAGTGGGTGGGGGGGGGGGATTCTTGTATCATATACAAAATTAGTCCAGATGTAGTTGACATGAAAAATAGCTGATGATTCTAACCATAGGACGTTAAGCTAATCATTTTCCATAATTTTATAGATTTGAAATTTATAGAACATACTAAACTGCACTATTTAAAGTACAAAGAACCAGACTCAGATGGACATTGGACATAAGCTCTTTCAGACTCTCATACAGTAAACTCCCAGTTATCAGACACCCACGGGGATCGCTAGGTATCAAATAACTGTATTTCGGGTTGCTTGAGAGTTAATAGTAACACTCAAGCAATCCCCCCACAGCTACATTCACCTGCCGGCTAGCTTCCGCATCCAACAGGTGAATGTTATTGCTATTGGATATTTTAAAATGAAATAGCCAATAGCAGACTGGCTATTGAAACCCCGCCCACTAAGCAGAGGAGCGGACATGAAAGAAAAAGTTCTCTCTCAGGTCCGCTCCTCTGCTCAGTGTGCGGGGTGCAAAAGCCAGCCTACTGTTGGTTATTCCAATATAAAATAGGCAGTAGCAGTGGAAACCCGCCCACTGAGCATTGAGTATTGCTCCCCATTGTTTACATTCTGCTGCCAATCGTGGAATCAAGTCACCAGCAAGATGTAAACAAATAAAATTTAGTTGCCAAGGACATTTTTTAGTGTGCATCAAGCCACCGGCAAAAAAATAAATAAAAATCAAGGACATATATCCTCAAATTTTTTGGCCAGTTGCTTGAATGCCAGATAATGTGGAGTTTACTGTACATGCTAGAATACATAGAGAGAGGCACTGTCACAGACTTACCCGGCGTGTCCCCGCGCTCCAGCGAAGGGTCGTCTCGTGCGTGACGTCACGACGGCTCCTCCCACGGGGCGCGGCTACCAGGGTAAAGGGTCAGCTGGTTCGTCGCTCGGCGTTCTCTCGTTGTGGAGAGTCGAGTGACGAACAGAGAACCCACAGGCTGCCCTTGGATAGTGAACGCAGATCACTGCCCAGAACCACTAACTGGCGAATCGAGACTGCTACCCCGCTGTGAGCCCAGAACTATTCAGAGCACACAACCGCAAGTATTCTGGAAGTCATTGCAAATCTTGCTGAACCTGCTACATGTGTTAGTGCTTGCTTGCATACTGCTTATGTGTTGCTATCTCACACCCACACCCACTAAGCCTTCCCAGCAGATCCGGATTGCATCTCCTTCAGTTAGCTATACCTGCTAAGAGACGTAGGACTGACACATTCTCTAAAAACTGCCATATTAACCCATGAAGGGTTGTGATAGTGCTAAAGTCACTGGTCTGCTGATAAGTCTGTTATTGGAGAGTATTTGAGGTATCCACATATTGCTTACATGCTTGCTACATGCTGATAAAACTGCATAGTGGTGCAACTAATTGTCTGTTGCTGAATAACCTGGCATTTACCTCCCCATTGACTCTGACTACATATCCGATATATGCATCTGCTTTGATTACTAGAGATTAACCATTAGCTACGTACATGTACAGCTTGCCGCATATGAGTGTGGGGTAAGGGGTACTACCCTTATATCATCTTAGCCTAATCCTCACTCCAGTATAACAGGAAGTATATGATGAGTGCGGTCTCCCTCTAGCAGTTACTGTAATTGGGAGTCGCTCACTGACCTTCCTTATCCAACAAAACCCCCATCGGTTCCGCAGCTGTGATCCAGTTAGACACTTATCACTGGTCCAGCCTTGACAGGCACCAAATAAACAACCAGTGGAGTGGTCCAGAGTATGTCAAGTACAGTACAACAGAGCATACAGTTACATGGTTATGTTGAAAAAAATATATACATTTCACAAATTCAACCAAGAGAGAAAACAAAACAAAAAAGAGAAAAGGAAACAAAAAAATATATAGAAGATGGCAAAAAAATCCCTTATGAAGCATGGTCCAATTTGCTCCAACATAATAAAAAAAATTCTTCCTGGTCTCCTATGAGATATTCCCTGAATCAACCATCTCTGGTGTTATTACTCACTAGTGTTAATATCTACTTAGACGATTGGATACAATCAGTCTCCATGTAGCTACAAATCTCTGCTATGCCATGGTCAATAACTGCTGGACTGCACAGGGGTGGACAAATTCATATGGAATTCTGGAGTCAGTATGCCCAATCCAGGAGTCAGCAAGATTTTTTTTTGAGGAACCAGCTCCATTTACAACAACCAGAGAAAACCAAAAAATTAGGCACCAGGTGTAATTTGTAAGGGGAACTGGTTACCTGGCTCCTGGGATTCTGAGTTATATACTGTGCATTTAGGAATGCATCCAGCTTCAATATACAGAAATTAATCCTTTTCCTCCAGACCCAAAAAGGGAATTGAGGGGGGAGGGTACACTACATCTGCTTTAATGATCATGCTAATGTACCATCTAATGTAGATATATTAATATTTAGCAGGGCTTCCCCGACACCTCAGAATTATTTCAAGGTTTTCCTCCAGGCTTAAAAGGTTAAGAAAGGCCCGTAAACACCATTCCAGTTTGCATATGTAGAGTTTGTACCAAAAAAAACCTTCAGAAATCAGACAATAACCGATTACACTGAAACACAACCTGGTGACCACTTGCCACACACAAAAAGAATACTACATAGGCAGCCGGCTTTTCCCCCCAAATATTGCTAATAACGCTAATGCAGCTTCAACTGGTCGTATTTAAAGAAAAAAATGGTGATGGTAATATGTTTTCCATCTTTTTGTTTCTGTGTAAAGGACTAAATGTAACTACATATGTCAGTAGCATCTACCCATGCAAAGAACAGCCTCTACAAGATAATTGTTACACACAGTTACATTGATTTTCTTTCTAAAGCTGGCTATACACTGGTAGAATTTCAAACGTTCATTCTTTAGAGGAAAAATGTTCAACCCTGCTCCTTGGAGTTTTTCACTATTATTGCAAACTATTAATTTAACCCCATGATCTATTAGATAATTGAACGAACATTCCGTGGACACTTTTTTTTTGCTTTTTAATTCCACTGGTGTACAGACCGCTTAAGAGAGACGCCACTACCATGTATGTATTTCGAGGTAACCACCAATTGTTAAACTCTATGTAAACATGTGAGAGTGGAAGAGATAAGACGTTGCGTGCACACCTGCCTCCTCCACCCATCTTCTGAATGTCAAGTGAGACAACTCCCTTTGCACTAAATGCGTGAGATTTTTGGTGGAGCTACCTTCCACTTCCTGGATTTCTTCCTCAACAAAACTATAACACAAAAAATGTAAAAAAAAAAAGGGAGGAATTAAAGGCCACATTGGTGTTCTGCTTAGGAGGCTTCGTAATGGGAGATGCAATCTAGAGCTAGTGAGAAATGAAAATACCAATATAAGCTGATCCCCGCTGAGAGCTTTATAGTCCTGTAAT